CAGAAGAAAATATTTTTGTGCAGGAAAACAATAAAGTTCTAGAGAGAGATTTGAAGTGACTTTCTCCATGCGCCCTCCCCACCTCTCACTGCCTTTCCTGGGTGAGTTTCTTCATCCTCTTTCTCACTCTCTCCCTAGAATGGCAGTGTGCCCTGGCTCCAGCAGTGGGCAGCTGCCTAGGACACAGGAGCCCATTTTTTAATCTGTAATTATGATGTATATTGTATTTTTAGAGTTTGATTTTCTTATTAAAAAAAAAAAACATATTGTATTCACATGAATACAGCACACATTCACGCTCATCCTTGCTTTCCTTATAAGTTTGCCCATCTTGAAATTCTAGGAGGATTGAGAACAGGCAGCTTTCATTAGTTGTGTGTTTGAGAAACTCATTGTGGAGAAGGAGTACATCTAAAATAAAAACTGAAACAGAACAATCTTCTTGACTCAGCAGTTGCCATCATTCTTTTCTGTTCCTCCTGGACCTGGTCCAGTGGCTCTGGAAGAACAATGAAACATCATGGGGATAAGTGGGAAGACAATTCAAAACAGAAGGCTGCTTCTCTACATTTTGTGTTTTAACACTGGAGACGGGAGCTGCTGGGGGGCGTACATGGATGCATATTAATGTCCAAGACACAGATTTTCCGCAGACAGGAGAATAAAATCCATGCCAGTGATGGAAACTTGGGAGCTTGGCACTTTTTATGTTGTCCTTTAATACTTGACTGAATATATATTTTATTTATCCAAGAAGTAATATTAATTATTGTACCAAAAGAGATCTAATTTACAATACACTCTTACAGAGTACCACATACACATTTATGAAACATTCCCTCTCTGCCCCTCTAAAATCCCATGAATTTGGTGTATATTTGTTGCACCAAATGGTCAAACCAATGACCAAAAGACTATCTTTATAATTACCTGTCAGTGCAAGACTCTCTTCCTTTCCTCTCTCTTTCAAGCGACTACTGCCTAAAATACTCAGGTATTTGAAGCAAAGTTTTAATCTTTTACTTTCTAGAAAGTGTCTTATTCAGTCTCCTTCTGATACTTAACTCATTGTTGAATGGAAGTAGGTTTGCAGAAATGATTGCTTGTTTGATAAGTTGTTATTTATAGGTAGATTTTTAGAAAAGAAAGTAAGATTCAAGTGCTCACAGCAGCCAGCAAATATGCAGGGCTCTCCACCCTCCATTAGAACATGTTCTGGGCTGTTTTTCTAGGATGATGAAGAGTTTGCACTGATATTATCAGCTCTCTAGCTAGTCCTTCTGGTGATCAGTGTTGCTCAGCTTGACCTCAAAGTAGGTTTAGGGAATGCTGAGTAATTGGATGGAGTTTTTTCACAATTATATTCCTCCATAGAATTATCCTCAAGCCAAATGGCTCATCTTAGCAATTAGCTCAAATGCAAGAAAGTTAGAGAAAGTCAGCATGGAAAACAAGCGAATAAAACATGGGTGACTCCTAGTTTGTCCATAAAAAGAGAGGTATAGCAGTAAGAACACTCTCTTGGAAATGTGGGTTCAAATCCTGCCACTGCCATTTATTAGCTGTGCCACACTGGGCAAGTTATTTAACTTCTCTGGCCTCTTGTTTCTTCACCTACAATATAGTATCAACAATATCTGCATTATAAAATTTGTCATGGAATTAAATGATTATTACCATCAATCAAAGATACGACTTAGCGAGTGAGTCTTTGGACCAGATAAAAGTTAACTCAAAATGGATAAAACACACATACAAATGTGTCATTGTAACGGAAGGAGCCATTATGGTACTTGTAGCAATAGCACAATATAGTATTTCTTTGGATTTTGCGGGGGGCGGGGGTGATTCTGAAGACAGGTTTTTGTAATAAAGATGTCATGATGTCTTGAATTGGGCTAGTTTAGCTAAGCCCAGATCAAATGCAGAAAAACTAGTCAAGATCGTTATCTTTACCACTTGCTCTGGAATATGTTTCTCAAATATGTATTTAGATGAATGCGTGGCAGTTGTAACACACTCCCACAATTACCTACATACCAAAGTAACTTCCTATCTCCCCATCATCCCAGTGCTCTTTTCTCCCATCTATTTTAAAGTGATAACGGTCAATGTAAACTTCCTCCTTTCCAAACATTTAGGGCAGTTCTTGCTGAAGTAGCCCTTTCTACAAAGTGATTTAGTGCCTTAACCTTGCTCCAGACGCTCTGACATTTTTGTTTAGTCTCTGGTGTAAATGTTAGACTCTCATATTTCTTGAGATTGGAGAAAGGAAACGGTCACAGAGTTTAGGTGTGGGAGAGGAAAGTGATGTCCTGCTCATTTGGGGTTTGTCTTCCAGAGTTCTTCCTCCATTCTCCTGATGCCACCTGTATACAGGCCATTGTGTGTGAACAGATTGTACACATTTGTCCTGCTGTTGCCCGGATGACAGTGTACTGCCTTGTTCGTTTTACAAGCCAGGGTACCTGGAACAGAGGTGATCAAGTAACTGTATGGGACTTCGATCCTCCTTTAAGGGAAGGACCTACACGGAGATGTGGTTAATGAATATACCTCCCTTACCTTTTTTGGCTGAAACAATAGCAGCTGCTACTTTATTCTCTTTCAAAGGATAAGGGCCAGTATGCAGAGGTGACTGAGGCCTTTGATTTGAGTATTGAATCTCCTTCTGTGCTTTTGGGGAAAAAACGCCTTGATGGTTCTCTTTAGCTATTTAGAATTAGAGAGTATGAAGAAAATGCTTTCACACTGGTTTTTACTTTAAGCATTTTTTAAAAACCGATAAACTTTATTTTCTAGAGTTGGCAGCCCTGTAGCTGTGGGTCCTGGGATAAGTTTCCCCATCCCTCTCCGCATGGTGCGAGGAGGGACATTTAAGCCTCATTCTTTGTTTGCCACTTTGGTTTCCAGTGCTCTGCCTTGACCACTTAGCGCTCTCTCCAAATAGCTGTAGGTCGAAAATAGTGGGCAGGAGCGTCAGAGAAGAGTTGGCGTGAGAACGGAACAGCACCACAGAATAGAAGGAGAAGGGGAAAAAAGCATCTCGGAGGAAGAAAATACTGCTGCCTGGTACTCCCTGGTCCCAGAGATATCCGGCGTATTGTGCTTGCACCACTCGCCGGCTCCACAGGGAGAGAGCCGGAAGAATTGCAGGCGCTGGTGGCGACAAGTTCAGGCACTCATGGGAAAGAGTGTGTGCCCCTCTGAGAGAAATCATTCTGAACACAGCCAAGCCAAGATATTTTGAGATGTGATTCAGAGCTGAGAACGAAACTGCGGGCAGATGGGATACTTTGGCTGGGAACAGATTAGCCCATTTTTAACGTAGTTGAAGTGTTGAAGTGGTGCCACCCTAACAAAAGAATACTTAGCCCCGAGTTTTGAGAAAGTGGCCCAGGATAAAAGAGGCTAAGTGCATGGCGTCAAAGCCAAAGTTGGCCTCCTTATCTGTGGGAGCTGCCCGTGGCTTTCGCAGAGGCAGAAAGTGCACTGAACCTAGTTAAGTAAGACCCGAGTTCAAGTTTCCACTTGGTGTTAAGTAAGTCCTCAGACTGTTACTTAATTGCTTTTTAATCTGCATTCTAGGTTGTTAAAAATACGAACATATGAAATACTTAGGGCTTATAATGAAATTATAAATGATACAATTCAAATACAAATGAAATAATAAATTGACAGTCATAGCTCCAATTTCCACTTAATTACCTTTGTATTAAGATTTTTGAGCAAATCCAACCAGTTATCTGGCAATTGTAGACACTATTTTTATCAGTACTTTATCTTCTAAATATGAAAATATTTAGAGTTCACACAAACTCTAAATATGTTTGTGTGAACAGGGCCACTACCTAAATATTAAACCTTCATTAGAATCAGATACTCATTATTGTAATATAGCATAACTTTTTAATACATTTGTGGAAACACAATTTTAAATTGTAAAAAAAAAAAAAAAAGCTTAACTATAATTGGATTATATGATAATTGGATTTTAGTGGGATTGGGGAGGATAAAGAATGAAGAAAAGTGAAGATACAGCTATTAAAACAGAAGAGACCATATTAATATAGATAATTTTAATCTTTTGAGAGTTTTGTGTCTTTTCCAGTAGTTTTTCAGCCCAGAAAGAATCAAACTGTGTTCCATTAGCTACAGCCATTAGGAAAACCTTTAAAGTTATGCCTCCTTTTTTCTCTAGGATGAGATCTTTCCTGATGCAGGCTTTGAAGACATCCTGAAAATGAGGGACAGAGGGATGGTTAGCATGAGGAGGCATCCCAGACCTGTGGGACAAAGTAGAGGAAGACAGGGTGCAAGAATGAGAACTGTGCAATTTTTAAAAATTTTTTGATTGGATGAGATGAAATGAAATAGCAGAGAAACTATTTGAAAACCTTATAAACCCAATGTCTACTTTCAATGCAAATTGAAGATAGATCAGAGGGGGATCAGAATGATAGTTTAAATTGTGCATTAAAACATCAAAAAAGACTCCCAAATACATATATAAAATAATTCTTTTGAAAGAATTTAATGGCAGTTAATCTTTGTGTGAATCACCGCAGTGCTTGAATATGAGGTAAACTTAGATTATCCTTCCAGAAAAATGCTTTAAGTACTTCTTTACACACACAGGCACACACACACACACACACCACTCACACTTATAGCTTCCCAACTAGTAGCAACCTAGGAAAGAATCTGATTGCACTTTTAGACCATTAGAGAACATTATTGATTTGGCCATGTGAAATCAACTCTTGGGACAGAAAATGAGTGGCTGCATTTTCACTGGCACCGCCAATGCCTTGCCATTCTAGCCTCGGCCATTTCCCTTCACCTTGTAAAATTTGGGGCCAGGTTCTCATAACATGTATGAATCCCATTGCCAGGTGGGATGAGGGTAGGGGAGTATAAAGGAAATGCTGTTCCCATTGTCTTCCACTGGAGAATTCCCTGGACTGACTTCCTGAAAATCTTCTGTTTGCCTCCACCAGGAATGGCGGCCCTAGATAGTAAGGCATCAGGGAAGATGGGGATGCGAGCTGTGGTCTATTACATGACTACCACCATCATTGCTGTGGTGATTGGCATAATCATTGTCATCATCATCCATCCTGGGAAGGGCACAAAGGAAAACATGCACAGAGAAGGCAAAATTGTACGAGTAACAGCTGCAGATGCCTTCCTGGACTTGATCAGGTATGTCCTTACAAGCCCGTCCTTTGAGGTATACTTTGACCATCAAGCCCCTCTTACTGGGAAGCTGATCAAACCCTGGAAGGGGTGTCTCACTGCACCAGCCTTGCCAGGCTTGAAGTGAAGGTCATATATCTTTACTTCTTTCTGACAGAAATTGAAGAAAAGATCTGTTTTCTGATCTCGTATGAGAGAAGCGAGAAGAGCAAGGAGAGGAGGATTTTGAGAGCCTTGCTGTTAGGATTCAGAATCTGGTCACCGAGTTCTCTCAACTACATAGCTTAACTTGAAATTTTAATAGTTCTTAACCTATTTTTCTTAAGTCCTGTTCTTTAAGGCTAGTTTTTATTCAAGTATGGCCTATTCTTTGCACCCTTCTCATTTAGAACTTGTGATCAGTATTACTGTCCACTATGCACAATGCATTATACACAATTTGGTTCCAGAGGGACTTTAGAGATCATCTTGTCAAACATGTCCCAAGGTTTTCCTTTTATACTATTTATGGAGAAAGAATTTGGCAGGTCTGTAATAAAACGATAAAGAATGGCTTCTTTAATGTTGTTTTATGTACAAACCATACATTGATTACAAATCAGTCTTATCTACTCTTTAAAGCAGACTTGGTAATAGAGTTGGCCTTATGCAGAACTGTGAAGTAAGCCAAAATTCAATCCTGGCACCTTCCTGCTTTCTCTCCCCTACACACCTGCCCTTGCTCAGTCAGGTCCTGGCAGGAAGCATAGCACATACTCAAAGGGAACCTCAGAGAAGGTTTGCCAAGGTGCAGGCAGCCTTAAAGGAACCTACAAAGGATGGTGAGGCCCCTACAGCATTAACAATAAGGAACTATTTTGTTACCATCTTTAGCTATGAAGAGGCAAAGGAAAGGAGGTGTTACTGGAATCCAGAAAGAGATATAGCCTCAGGAGAGAAGGGCCTCAGGGGGCCTAAATGGAGAAGAGGGGCTGCCACCAAATCTATCAAAGCCCTGGGAGACTATAGACCCCTTTGCCCTGTGATCTGTCAGTGCATGGCACTAGACAAAGCCCATAGGAACAGGAAGCCAAAAGGCAAGAGAACTCACATGCTGTGGTCCATGGAGGCCAGGTTCCCAGGCCAGGAGAGCGAATCTAGAAGGACAAAGGACCTCAGCACAGGCCTCTAGATCCCCCATCTGCTTAGCATTCTCCTACCATTTAGTCCCTCCCAGCCTGTCTTCCCAAAGACTAGCTCTTTCCTCCCAGCTTCACAGCTAACTTACCCGCAGAATGACTGGGTTGCCAATCCTAGATACCTATCCAAAGAGTTTATGCCCCATGAATCATCTGAAGGAAATTCCTCCATGCCATCTCAAGGAATGGGTCTGTGGCAGGTAAAGTCAAAAGAGATTTGGGGAGCAGAGGGATACCTCCAGCAGCACCTTTCAATTCCCAACATGGCTGACTTTGCACCGTCTCTATGTATGTAAACACTACCCAACCCCAAGAGGCCTCTTCTTGAAAGTCCTTTTTCAGGGAGTTGATCACAATGATCTGTATGCAACAAGCCACCCTATAATGTTATTTCATACCAACCTGACATTCAGTAGCTGTGTTTTTATTTAGTTCATACAATTAATTAAGGCTTTTAACCATTTCTTCATGAACTTTATACTCAGTTTGGATTATAAGTATTTTATTATATTACATTTTCTTTCTCTAAAATTTTTACTCCTTGTTTGAAGAATTGGAATCTTGTCATCCCCAGTCTGGTTGATCCATCAGAGGACCATGTTTCTGCCCTGCCTTGCCCCAGTGACAAATGTATCCTGCCCACAAACAATCACTTGGTTTGAGCATTTATCCTGGAATCTCCTGAATGCACATTTCTTTCAAGGTTGATAGCAACAACCCCATAAAGCATGATAGGAAGAAAAAGAAAACAGGATGGTCTAGTAGGAAGGAAGGGACAAGAGTTTACAATATTAAAATACAACTTTGATAACATGCACCTGCTGGAATGTTGAGCTTGAGATAGCTGCGGAGCATGTCTCCTTCCCCCAGTCTTTCATCTTAAAGCCCTAATGATAGTTTAGTCCAATCTCCTCTTTAAGAGATGAGTCAACTTAGACATAAATGGGTGCCATGACTTGGCCAGTGTCACACAGCAAATGACAGACATCCCAGCCAGAGTGTTAGCCTCACTCTACACCCTACAAATACAAACACTGTTTTGACACAGTCTCAGAAGAAGTAACAAACACTGCCACATGGGCTTCAAGTTCGAATTTTGTAGGTCATCCCTCCATTGGCTACCAAAGACTTGCAGAAGCTTTAGCAATTCAGTGCCAAAATACCATTCTCCAGAATGCCTTTGGGAGGCTTTTCTGGAGAACAAAATTCCATAGGCTGACCATGATTTTTGATTCAGAACATTTGTTTCCTAGACACACGGCTCAATAACCAAAATGACGACTGTTGAACAATAACTCAGCCATTAAGCTGACGATAAAACTCATTTCCATTCTCACTTTGATTATTCCTAGTAGCATGGTTTTTAATAATATAATGGCTGAATGAAGAAGCCCATTGGCTGACAAGAGGATAAATGAGTCAAATTTGAACTCCCCTGAAAATATAAACTACATGGGCCACACTAAGGGAGGACCATATATTCCTTTTCAAGTCCTGAAATCCACTACCATTTTTCTTTTTCCATTTGTTGCTTGATTTAATGCAATCTTTACCTTACACGTAATGAAACAGAATTTAAGGAGTAAACTTATTACTTGGAAAATTTTGCAAGTGACTATTATTTTCTTTGCAGGAACATGTTTCCTCCAAATCTGGTAGAAGCCTGCTTTAAACAGGTAAAGACTCTGCAGACTCACCTTTGAAATTCCTCTTTTGTATACCAAACCAGGTGGGACCCTCTTTTTCCCCCCTCATTTCTCTGCTATAAGAAATATTTCTCTTGTCAACTAGATTAAAAACACTAGCATTTTCTAGGAAATTTTTTGGGATGGAATGGTTCTTACCTTGTATTGAAAGCTGTTGCCAGACACAGTGTGTCTTGCATACAAATAGCTCATTGAGTCTGGCATTGTTAAGAAGGCTAATCACAAGACCCCCTTCCTCTCCCTGCCCCACTCCCCACTGTCAAAAGCCCACCAACCAAGCAAACACCAATATAAAATACATTTATAACTTGCCTTAAAGAAGATTAGAGAGATTATTCAGATTTCTGGGTTTTATTTAAATATTAATGGGCTGGGTTTTTTTTAAGTCTACCAAGGAACTAATGGACTCTAAAGGAGAGCCAAAGCAGAAAGGAATGGCATCATCATTCATGGAAATCCTGCCATATGCCAAGCACTGGCATTATTTTTAGTCCTCACATAAATATGATAAATATCATTGTCTTCATTTCACTGATGGGGCAGCTCATCTACAAGAGCTCACGGGGATTATGTATTGCACACAAATTCTCACAAGTAGTAAGTGGCAGACTCAGCATTCAAATTCACTGTATTGACTCCAAGTTCTATCTGCTTTCTGCTACTCCATTCTGCTTCAAAGAAAGGAATATTCAGGGTGATAAGATACCAACCTAGAAGCTATAATGAGGTCCAGCTCCTTTTAGCTCATATACAAGCAACTCTTGCCTCTGTGTTGTGGATACAAATACCTTTTACTATTAGTAGATAAAATCAATAAAGCTCACTTTAACCTCATTTGAATGTAAAAGCTTTGTGGCCTAAAATATTAAAAGGGAAACAGACACTCTGGGTTAAGTAATATTTCCCAAACATTTCTCCAGATGCTGTCAATTCACTCCTCTTGTAATTCCCTAACGCTTCAGCTTAGGATCTGTAAAACAAACCAAACAAAACCCCAACCTAGTAGAAGACTTAGTTTTACACACACAAGTCTCCCTTTGTTTTTTTCCCTTGAATAATTTTTAAGACGATTTTTAATATGTAATGCATGCACACATTGAAACATTCAAACCAAATTCTTTCTTTAAAAAAAAAAAAATAAGCCTGAGGCCAAAATCTAACTTTCTTTGTTCAAAAACAACTATAACCTTAAATAATAAGTGCCTTTCAATCCAACCAGCCAACTCCAGCACCATGGGGCTGACGATTCCAGTAAGTCAGCTGGCCCTGGGTAATATCAAAAATGCTGATTTCCAGATCTTGCAGATGGAAAAAGTACTGACTCGTGCAGATTGATTGTGTTTGATTTGGAGTTGCATTTACAGGATTTTGAAGGGAAGGAAAATGTTTCTCCCCAGGTCTAGTTGGCTTAGACCAGAATGCAAACAAGGTTGCAGTTTCTGTGTATGCTGCAAACAGAGTCTAAGGGGAATGAGTTAGAGGCATAAGAAAGGCTGATCAGGATTGAAAATCTACCCTGGACAATCCATAAAATGCATAAGCACCCAATGGAATAAAGAAATTTGAGAGTTGATTAGAATAAATGGACAGGGGCCAATTTTTTTGTGGCTGATAATAGAAATTATCAGTACTACTGACTGTTCAAGAATGTGTCCGTAGTATTGACAGCTGGCCATGCCTTTGTTTGGGAATAGTTGTTTCCCAGTGGATAAGAAAGTCTTCCATTAACCCTTAGTAAAGAAACGCCCAAGCGCTTCATATACAGTAGCACTCTCTTCCCCTAGACTCTAGATTCGTTCACTATCCATTCATTGTTACTCTCACTGGTGCTTTCCCTACAATCATCATCAAGATCAGGAATTCTACTCTCATTAAAATCATAGAGGGATGAGCTTACTTGTTTCATGTGGCCAGTATCTCCTGCCTGGGGCATCCATGCAGAAACTGAAGAGATGATGGGAAAAAGACCATCTCTTGAGTTAGAAGAGAAACCCCATTATAGACTTGGAGAAAGTGAGTTGTCGCCATCAACTATTAATCAGGCACCTATTCTTAAGAATTGATGATATCAAAAATGGCTTGGAGACTGGTTGTTTAGGGATTTTAAATTTTGAATACCCACTGAAATCCAAGTCTAATCCCTGAAGGGCTTTGTCATTGAGCACCATTAGCAGACGTTAACTATGGTACTTTACAATTTACAAGATGTTCTCATACAGTCTGTTTAATTTGATCATCACAACAGCACTGTGAGGTAGAACCAGCACAGTTATTCTTGTTTCACAGTTGTGGAATGTGAGAGAAAGGATACCAGGTGATTTATTCACTATACCATAGCATGATCCCCACAGAAAAGAAAAGGATTATTGTGAATATTTGGGTTTATGGTTTAAAAAAAAAATCCCATTGTAGTCCTTTTATTAGGGTTTCAGAAGAAAGCAAAAGCATATGTGTGTGTTTAGTCCAGCATCTTTAATTGGATATCTCTTTCCTATTATCATTTGTTATGTATTTGAGTGTGTGTGTGTGTGTCTGTGTGTGTGTAAGTGTATGTGTGACATGATTTATTTGTATTTCAGTATATGTTTCTATGTTGATAAAGTAGTAGAAGTTTTCCACAGATTAGATAAAGAGAGAGTGAAAGAGAGAGAAAGACTTTCTATAACACTAGTCTCTGAATACAAAGTAATACCTATCATTTTAGAAAATTTGACAACAGGAAAACATAAAGAAAAAATAAAAATCACCTATAATGCTCATTGTGCTTTTTATTTTTAAGTTTAAAACCAACTATGAGATGAGAAGCTTTAAAGTGCCCATCCAGGCCAACGAAACGCTCGTGGGTGCTGTGATAAACAATGTGTCTGAGGCCATGGAGACTCTCACCCGGATCACAGAGGAGCTGGTCCCAGTTCCAGGATCTGTGAATGGAGTCAATGCCCTGGGACTGGTTGTCTTCTCCATGTGCTTTGGTTTTGTGATTGGAAACATGAAGGAACAGGGGCAGGCCCTGAGAGAGTTCTTTGATTCTCTTAACGAAGCCATCATGAGACTGGTGGCAGTAATAATGTGGTATGTATTTCCATTTGCTGTACATGTTATATGCGAGATGTTTATTGCCATCAACATGTGTTCTGTACTTAGGAAGTCAACAAGAGACAGGAGGGCTAATTGCAATGATCTCACTCTGGTAAGCACAGGAAAATAAATGAATCTCTGGGCCTCTGGTGGCCTTGAACCTATCTGCAAGCCTCTCCTAATAAGTTTGCTTCCTTGTTTTCAAAAGCTGTCACTTCCTTTACCTTAGTGCTGATGGAATCTCATTCCTCATTTCTCCAATAGTTTATCATTCAAGACATAATTATTGAGTGTCTACTATATGCTAAGCATATAGTGCCAGGCACTGTGGATATAGCAATAAAGAAAACATATAAGGATGTTCCAGATCTTACTCTCTTTTAAGGGAGACAACAATAAACAAACAGATCAATCAACCATATGCTTCAGTCACAGGTGCTGTAAAAAAATAAAATAAAATAGCCGGTACCTAGGAGAAGGCATAAAATTTGCCTTGGATGGTGCAGAAAGGCCTCTGAGGAAGCGACATACTTTGCTAAGACCTGATGAACAGAGGAAGCCAATCATACCAACGTGCCAGAAGAAGGGTGTTCCCAGTAAAGGGAAAAGCAAACAGAGAGGCCCCCTAGGCCATCAGGAAAACTGAGGGCTCCTCATCTGTTTCAGCCCTAAGAAATGTAAATGGCCGTTCTACTGCAATGTTTAAAGGATTATAAAATGCCAAGCCACAATTTATAACAAAATTTACTTTAATAAAGTTGACAGCAGGAGACAAAGGAAGAGACTATAAATCCAAGCAGAACATTGACCTTGGAAAATAAACTGTACCCAACAGGGAGAGAACCCTTTGATTGGCTTAGGCCTCGTATGAAGGTTGCCTCTCTTTCATTCATTATTTTTAATCCAGTCTCCTCTGTGGCACCTAAGGCAGGAAAGCATCCATCGCTAAGAAAAGCACTCACTCACCAACATGATTAAAAATGTTCTTTGTCTTTAATGCCACCAAAGCCCATAGAAATCCATTTTTCAGGAATCTGTATCAGATGGATATGAACTTGGGCACAAAGACGGATCAGAATACAGTCTCCACAGCAGCCCCCACTTGGAAGGCTCCTTTGAAATCCTGGCAGGAATGAAAGTGGACATTTATCTTCATATGATTAAAATGCCTCCACCTTTCACCTCTTTTATGAAAGAAGCCCATTCAAGGCCACTGAATGAACCTCACATGCAGCTTGTCTAGCTGTACATTCGCCTGCACATTCTAGGCTGAAGTAATATATTTCTGAAAACAGGTGTTCCTATGACTTCCTGGCCTGGGTTCTTAAAGGACTTTTGAAAGAAGCGTTGTATTTTTCAATTTGAAACAAGTCCTCCACAGTTCCCAGGAGACCCTTCTCCTTAAGGGTGATTGGCTCCTCTGTGTTTGGTAATGTGAGTTTGGTGTGGTTTACTGCACATATCAGACAAAGAGAAGGGAAAGCCAGTCAGGGAGGCCTTTAAGCAACCTGGGTTATTTCAACATGTAGAAGTCATTTTGAGACTCAGTTGCTTTTTCTTGCAGTCTGCAGGGGAAAAGCTCACAAATGGCAGTAGCAGCCTGTGGTGAATAATGACTTCATTAGAACACCTATAACTTGATTGCAGTAGTCCATACATGTACATTATTAAGTTTAATAATGAATTTATTTTATGGACATCTTCTATTTATGGCAAACGGTACTAGATTTGCATTTGCACTATAAAATAAAATTTCCTCTTAAAGTTACTTAAGTAAAAAAGGTGATTTGAAGAATAATACTAAGTTATCTTGTAAGTGGTACGTAGACATGGAAAGGCCATAATAAAAGTGGCCCTTGAACAAGAGAGCTGACTGCAAACCTGAGACACTGGCGTAGTGCTGTGTGCCTCTTGGTTTAACTTGGGAATTAGGATCTGATGTGGAAAATGCTTCCAAAAGTCTGCATATTGGAATGATGGATTCTGGCTGTTCAGGACACTTAGCAGGGGAGCAGGAGGCTGAGGGACGGAATGGCATCTGAGGACCAGAAAATGACCCTGGTGTGGTGAAAGAAGGGCTGGCTAGGAAGACAGAGGTGGGTCCTGAGAGCTTTGTATCTGCCTTTTTTACCCCAGGTTTAAGAGAAAAACATTGTGTCCTTGAGCAATTCTGAGTGAGGGGAAAGCCCAATTCTGTAAGAACCAGGGGAAATTTATATTTACAAAAGAGAAAAAAGAAGTCCACAGTATCCTTGGCAGGAAGGTTTGGCAATCAACCCTCTTTCCCCTTTACTTATCACTTGGAAATTTCTGTGGACTAGCTTGGTGGAAACCAGACACCAACTGTGCTGGTGTTACTTCTCCCAGGTACGCCCCTGTGGGCATCCTCTTCCTGATTGCTGGGAAGATTGTGGAGATGGAAGACATGGGCGTGATTGGGGGGCAGCTTGCCATGTACACCGTGACTGTCATTGTTGGCTTACTCATCCACGCAGTCATCGTCCTGCCTCTCCTCTACTTCTTGGTAACACGAAAAAACCCTTGGGTTTTTATTGGAGGGTTGCTGCAAGCACTCGTCACTGCCCTGGGAACCTCTTCAAGGTAAGTAGATATGTGTGGAAAATGAGTCTGAAGTGTTACCTTGAACCAGAGCCCTTCAAGTAGGGTGTAGGAGGAGCCATTTTGTTCTGGGTTTTAAACTTCCAGGAATGATGAGTTAGCTTTCTCACTGCTGATGCCAATCACATCTATTTGGGATTCAGGGAATGCCGGGCTACATATCTTTTGTGGGGACAAATTGGAAATCAGCTGATCACTTCATCTCTCTTTAGTTGACATCCTCTTGAGGGAGAAGTGGCAGAGTGACTTGGCACAGGCTGTCATGATGGGGGCATGATATCACAAGTGATGCCTCACAGAGGAACCCAGAAGCAGGAAAGCTGCCAAATGACCCCGTGGGGGAACCGCACTGTTCTTAACCCGCTCCCCCATTTATACAAGTGCTGACTTAGTTCCCTTTAAGTTAGGACACGGGAGAGGAAGGAAGTGTCTGTCCCAAAGACCAAACACACAGATAGTCAGAACTACCAGGACGATCAGCTGATGTGCCCTGTTTCACCATTCTCAGTTCGGCCACCCTACCCATCACCTTCAAGTGCCTGGAGGAGAACAATGGCGTGGACAAGCGTATCACCAGATTCGTGCTCCCCGTAGGAGCCACCATTAACATGGATGGGACTGCCCTCTATGAGGCTTTGGCTGCCATTTTCATTGCCCAAGTTAACAACTTTGAACTGAACTTCGGACAGATTATTACAATCAGGTACAAGGAAAGAGTTCTATACAACCCTTTCTTAAGAAGGCCTCTAGGGCTGGGCGCGGTGGTTCATGCCCATAATCCTAACACTTTGGGAGGCCAAGGCAGGTGGATCACCTGAGGCCAGGAGTTCGAGACCAGCCTGGTAACATAGTAAAAGCCTCATCTCCAGTAAAAATACAAAAATCAGCCAGGTGTGATGGTGCACGCCTGTAGTCACAGCTACTCAGGAGGCTGAGGCAAGAGAATCCCTTGAACCTCGGAGGCGGAGGTTGCTTGTGAGCTGAGATCATGCCACTGCCCTCTAGCCTGGGTGACAGAGCAAGACTTCATCTCAAAAAAGAAAAAAAAAAGTTTGATGAACTTTTTCTGTTGCATGAATTTTTAGACAGTATAAGAGAGATGACAGACCCTACTGACAAGCAGAGCAAGAATCTGATTTTTGTGGAGAATTTTTAAAAAAATATCGTATTTGAGGTGTTTAGTGAAAAGTTATTTTCCTTTCCATACCTTTCCCCAGTCTCTTAGTTGCCTTCTGCAGAGGCAACAAGTGTTACCTGCAGGTTACTTCTGTGTCCTTTCAGAGATACACCAGGCATACCCATGTTCAAATGTAATCTCCCCTTTTTGCTTATTGAAAGTTATTTTTCACAAGGGACCCCTGAGTCTAATGGCAATGGGACACTTTAAGCCTCACAATCCAGATCAGCATCTGCTCTTCGTTGTTGTGGGTTTTTCTTAATTGTAATTAAAAATATATTTTGGAGAGCAAAATAAGTCAGATTTAGGGGGATTTTTATCACTCAACATTTTGTTATGAAACTTACCCTACATACAGGAAAGTTGAAAGAATATTATAACAACCATCCTCTATTAGATGGAAAAACTGTGAATGTTTTGCCATTTTTTGCTTCTTATTTCTCTTTCTCTGCCATTATGACATTTCACCTGTACATAATTCAGCATGCATCTCTTAAGAATAAGGATATTTTTCTATATAATCACATTAGGGAGAATCTTAAAAATACTTCCAGAATATCCAGTCTATATTCAGATTCCCTAGTTGTCCCCAAAAACATGTCTTTTACAACTTTTATTTCCAGACCAAGTTCAAATCCACATTTATGGCCTGCATTTGATTTCTTAGTTTCTTTTCATCTCAGTCTCCACACATTTGTTATGTTTATTTAGAAATAAGTTGTTAGACTCTGTGTATATGTTTTGTGTTAGTAGAAAATGATAATAGTTGCAGTAGGATGCATTGGAGTAAAAAGGACAAGGCTGATCAGGGCCAGAGGTCACTGACTGACCTGGGAGTTCCGGGAGCCTCCAGCCCAAAGCAGTAACAGTGGGGCTTAGGAAATCATCATCTCAGCTTACCTGTAACCTACACTTTGGCATATTGATTGAAAGGCTCTGAGTTATAAAAAATGATGTGGTTGCATGTGACAGAGTTAAAAATAACAGTAACAGTGACAAACAAGATAGAAATGTATTTCTCTTTCATTCAGCATAGCTCTCTGCTCCACAAAGTCGTCAAGGCTGATTGATAGGTGTTCTGTGGTATAAGGGACTAAGTCCGTAGGGTGTTATCATTATCCAGGTGGTCCGGGATGGCTCATCACCACCCCCAAATTTTAGCCAGTGGGAGGTGGGGAGGTGGTATATGCTGCAAGTTGCTCAATCACTTTCAGGCATGTCCATTGGCCAGAAGTTAATCCAAGCTTCAAGGGAGTTTGGGTAATGTAGTCTTTACTCTGGGGAGCCACAAACCAGCTAAAAGTCCCGATACCTTAGAAGGGGGACAGTATGAATACTTTCTGTGACAGATTTAATAGTTTATTAATACCACTTATAGCTAGATAATACTTTACTATTTATAAAACATTTGCTTTGCAAGCCAGGTCTACACTGCCTTCATAAAAAATATTTCTAATACTACAGAACTTTTTTCATAAATCATTTTGCATTTGAATTAACTAAGCAAACCAAGCTAATAAACCAAATTTGATTCTTTTGACATTAATCATGCATGTTCAGTAACTTTACAACCCTCCACTTGGAGAGGGGAATTATTAGAAACAAATTATTCTTGTAACTCTACATCATTTTAGACCTTGCCTTACAAAATACTTCCAGAGATATTAAAAAGTGCATAGCTGCCAGTTTATTTAGAAATATGGAATAATAGGTACAACTTCACAAGGGTCATTGTACAAGGACCAAATGAAATAGGCCATGCTTAGCATATCAGAAGATGCGTCGTAAGCACATGATAAATATTCGTTAGCATGATGATTAGTTCAATGATTTTTTTTTTCTAATCTCATTTATGGGCCAGGCATAGTGGCTCACGCCTGTAATCCCAGCACTTTGGGAGGCCAAGATGGGTGAATCACTTGAGGTTAGGAGTTTGAGACTAGCCTGGCTAACATGGTGAAACCCTGCCTCTACTAAAAACAGAAAAATTAGCTGGGTGTGATGGCATGTGCCTGTATTCCCATCTACTCAGGAGGCTGAGACACGAAAATCTCTTGAACGCAGGAGGTTGCAGTGAGCCGAGTTTGTGCCACTGCACTCCAGGATAGGCAACAGAGTGAGACTCTGTTTCAAATAATAATAATAATACTGCATTTACGTTTTTTCTGAAGCAGGTCCTCTTGTGTTATACGGCAAGTCAGGCACTGGCACCGTGCATATTTTGCAGGGTATATGGTCTACTTGGGGAGCTTTGTAAAAGTGTTTTCTGCTCTGGTACTTCTGTTAACAGCATCACAGCCACAGCTGCCAGTATTGGGGCAGCTGGAATCCCTCAGGCGGGCCTGGTCACCATGGTCATCGTGCTGACATCTGTCGGCCTGCCCACGGACGACATCACGCTCATCATTGCGGTGGACTGGTTCCTGTAAGTATGCTTGGCCTGCATCCAGCTTGCTGTCACGAGGGGCCCCCTTTGTCACTTTAGGGCACCAGGCAGCCTGGCACACCTACAGAAAAAAACTCTGAGAGAGGGGCCACTTGGCCCATAGTTAAATTGTCTTCATTGTCTGACCCTTGGTACTTATCTGAAGACTGAGCCCCAGACACCATGTGCACTTACTCCTCTATCAGCCTGAGGGGCACATATGGCTGCTACATGTCTCACTCCATAAAGCCATTCAGAAATTGGGAAACCTGCTGTCTTGTGAAGCCAACATGAATCAGCAAGGCTGTTTCTGAATTGCACAACACATCGCCACGGCGGCTGGAACAAAGCTGCAGGCCCCACATACCAGCTCAGGCCCTGTCTCTGTGCTTCCCATTCCAGTGGTTATGATTTTCCCATCCCAGCCCAACAGAGTGAGGCTGGGCTGTGCCAGCAGTGGAAAGAGAGCTGGTGTCATTAAGTGGAATTGAGTTGTAGATATGGGGAAAGTTCCAAGAAGTGTGCCCTCCACACTCTCAAACTCTAACCTCTACAGGACCCTCCCTGTGAGCCCTTCCCTCGCTTTTCCATCTGGCATTCTCTGTGCCTTTTCTCTTGAACATTTCCTTCCACTTTTGAAAATCTTCCCCCAGAATGCCCAAAGCAAATGCCTAGGAGAACACAGTAGGTGCTGGAACCCAACATGGGTTCACTAGAACTGTGACCATGAAGAGCTTGACGGTGTGTGTGAAGCCCCAGAATGGGCGGGGGAGTTCACTCCCCAGTTACTTGTCCCTGTGTTTGTGTCCTGGCCTTGTGTGAAACTGGGCAGATTACCCACCCATCCTGGTTTCCACCTCTGTGAAATGAGGGTGCCCATGACCTCCACCTCCTGGGGATACTATAGGATTCAGTGCAGTGATGCCCAGAAAGTATGCAGCCTGCTGTCTGGCCCACAGCCAGCATCAGTTAACATGAGCACTCTCATAGAAAGTTACAGTTCTCCAAGTCTTTGATCTTTACACTTAAAAATTATTGAGAACTAGGCCAGGTGTAGTGGCTCACCCCTGTAATCCCAGCACTTTGGGAGGCCAAGGCGGGTGGATCACGAGGTCAGGAGATAGAGACCAGCCTGGCCAACATGGTGAAACCCTGTCTCTGCTAAAATACTCCAAAAATTAGCCAGGTGTGGTGGTGCATACCTGTAATCCCAGCTACTCAGGAGGCTGAGGCGTAATTGCTTGAACCTGGGAGGCGGAGATTGCAGTGAGCCGAGATCGCACCATTGCACTCCAGCCTGGGCAACAAGAGTGAAACTGTCTCCAAAAAAAAAAAAATTATTGAGAGCTAAAAAAGCATTTTATCTATATGGGTTGTACCTATTCATACTTATCATATTAGACAAACTTATAAGTTTCCATTTTTAATTTATTAAATGTCTTATTTAAAGATAGCAATAGGCTGGACACAGTGGCTCACACTTGTAATCCCAGCACTTTGGAAGGCTGAGGCGGGCAGATCATGAGGTTAGGAGTTTGAGACCAGCCTGGTCAACATAGTGAAACCCTGTCTCTACTAAAGATACAAAAAATTAGTTGGATATGGTGGCACGCTCCTGTAATTCCACCTACTTGGGAGGCTGAGGCAGGAGAATTGCTTGAACCTGAGAGACAGAGGTTGCAGTGAACTGAGATCATGCCATTGCACTCCAGCCTGGGTGACAGGGAAGACTCCATCTTGAAAAAAAAAAAAGGTGACAATAATAAATTAATAAAATGAATAAATAAAATGAATTTATTATTATCACCTTTAAACAAAAAGGTGATATATGCTAACATAAATAACAATTTTTGCAAAAAAATTACCATTTTTGACCCCAAAATTTTATTTATTTATTTATTTATTTTGAGACCAAGCTCTGCTCTTGTTGCCCAGGCTGGAATGCAATGGCACAGTCTTGACGCACTGCAACCTCTGCCTCCTGGGTTCAAGCAATTCTCCTGCCTCAGCCTCCCGAGTAGCTGGGACTACAGGCGCACGCCACCATGCCCAGCTAATTTTTGTATTTTTAGTAGAGACGGGATTTCACCATGTTGGCCAGGCTGGTCTCAAACTCCTGACCTCAAGTGATCCACCCACCTCAGCCTCCTGAAGTGCTGAGATTACAGGTGTGAGCCACCATGCCCAGCCTCAAACCCAAAATTTAGTGAAAAGAGTGGCACTATTTTATATTTTGAATTCCTGAATGTCTTGCTTAATACAAGACAGTTGGAGTTTCCCAACTGTTTCTGCAGTTTCACAACTGCTTCAGGAAGTTGTGACATCACACATCATGTAGTCTTTGCAAAACTCCACTATATATTCATGAGAAAATGAGAGTGAGAGGGACAAATGACATCTTAGTATTATTATGAGAATAGTTTAAAGAGAAGGGTCGTTCCCCACTGTTGGAATCCTCACTACAGTCAGACTGGTAACTGAACATCCATCATCTATATGGCCTTATAACTTTTAATAGCTACTATTGTGAACATCATGTGTCTATCATGTAATCTTGCAGTTGGTAGATACACCAAACTGAATTGTAAGAGGTGCTTCCCTGGCCAGTTCCTAGTGTATGTTGAAACCTTGTGATGCTTGTGAGAGCCTCATTTTTCCCTCCTCCCCACCCTGCCCACAGGGATCGCCTCCGGACCACCACCAACGTACTGGGAGACTCCCTGGGAGCCGGGATTGTGGAGCACTTGTCACGGCATGAACTGAAGAACCGAGATGTTGAAATGGGTAACTCAGTGATTGAAGAGAATGAAATGAAGAAACCATATCAGCTGATTGCACAGGACAGTGAAACTGAGAAACCCATCGACAGTGAAACCAAGATGTAGACTAACATAAAGAAAGGCTTTCTTGAGCACCAGGTGTTAAAAACCATTATAAAATCTTTCCATCTCCTTACAGCTCATTCTCTCCAGCAAGCCCCTTATCTCCCCTTTCCTCCCTTCTGATAAGATTGGAAAGTAATCCTTCAAAAAACAAAAGGGAGGATTCTGCAGTGGCCAAAGTATATAATTTTCATCCCACAATTGAAATTTTTAAATCATTTCATGTTAGTCTTACCTAAGAAGGTACCAAGATCAAAAATAGTCTTGATCAGATCTTCTAAGATCAGATCTTACAAGTTTATGTGGCACATAATCCTGTGAATATGATTTTTTATATAAGTTCAAGAAACAAATAGTAGGCTAAAAACGTTTTAAAATCAATTTTTGAAATTTAAAAATCTTTAAGAATACAATTGAGTTTTAGTTTCAAAATATTCACAACTTGAATTACAACCGGTTATCAGTTGGACAGTAAGATTTTGTCCCTTTCTCTTCTGACTGGCATTCTTATTTGATTAGTAGCTCAGTGCACATACACGTCTGGCACAGCTGTGAGGAGGGGCAGAAGGCACAGTTTTCATGTGGCCTTGAGTAAGTCACATCTCACCTCTAGGCCTCAGTGTCCTCATCTGTAAAATGAGGGACTTCCCTAGATGCTTTTGTGGTCTCTTCCAGCCCAGACATCCTATGATGTCATGAAAGAGCCTGCCCTCTATTTCCCCTCAGAACACCCTGTGCCAAGTATCATCCATGGAGCAAGGGGGTTCAGAAAGGACACTTTAATGGGAGTGAACTAAGGACAGGGTGGTTGTGTGTGGTGGTTACCAGGTCCTGTGTCCAAAATGCAAGTTATGCAAGTCGCCAGGCAGTAGGCCATTCCAGGAGTGGGATTAACCCTTTGCCCAGTTCATCCCAAAGGGGAAGTATTCCCTTCCTTCTTACCCTTCCCAAACCGAAGGGACTACTCTGGGAAGAATGTCTCCCCCCACTCCTCAACTGTTGATTGATTTCAAAAACAGAACAGAAGACTAGCAGCTAGCAAGGGTGCTTGTGGTCACACTATGGAACAGTAAAGAGCTAGGAAAGAGTGGAGCACAGACAACATTATCAACAAAGGATTTTAAAACACCAAGAGTACAGGTCTTCCTTAAGGAAGAATAAAACAGAAGAGGTTCAATTTTTTTTTTTTTGGCTTTATTTCCACCTGAAACACTTTTTCTCTTGAGTCCAAAATCATTGCCCCATGAAGTCTGCCTACCAAAATATAAAACCACTTATATATTTGAAAGAAGTCAAATGAATGAGCTCTGTAATAGAAGTCCATGAGTTGAGTGGATAGTTTCCTATTTGAAAGTGTTTTACTTTAATCAAAAGTCCTTAGAATGAGAGAAACAAAACATTTCTTTGTTTTGGAATCCCGCTTATCAAATCATTCAAAACTTTCAGCCGAAGTGGGTTTGCTTTTGTTTTGTTTGTGTCCATAAGATAAATGGTAGAAGATGAATCAGTATGAAGACACTGTCAAAGAGGTTATGAGAAAAAACAGCAGGGGCATTAGTTTCAGGTGAGTCAGCTCCCAGGTTTAGAGATTAATTTTTACCCCCTGAGGAATATCCAGTCAAAGACGCTGAGTGGGAGCTGTCAGGCAGGAGCAGCTGTGTTGGAGTTTCTGGCTGAAAACGGTGAAGAATGGACTTAATTATGCTAACAGACTGAAAATCTAGACGTACAGCCCCTGATCTACAATTAGAGATATTTTTATATAGATCCCAAGGATTCTGTGTATAAAAGTTAACATTAGGCTGTGGTGGAGTAAGCATTTAATGTCGAGGCTCTATTTGGGAAATACACTACAGATATTAATGTATGTGGCCATCATCTAAAGACACTAGTAGAGCAAAGACTTAATCCTCTCAACTTAATTCTGTTACACAGTGTGTGTGTGTTTTTTAATATATATACTAACCATTTCTTATGGAAAGGTCCTCTAGGGAGCCCATCCTCTCGCCAAGCCATCACAGGCTCTGCACACACATGCACTCAGTGTGGACTGGGAAGCATTACTTTGTAGATGTATTTTCAATAAAGAAAAAAGAATAGTTTTACATTAACATCTTTGCATGGTTTTGTTATTTTTCTCCTCAAAGGAAAATACATTTTCCATTCATGGAAGTATTACAATAAGCTCAGGGCAGGCTCTGGAAGGGTCCTTGCAGCAAGGTAAAATCTTGGCAGAACCAGCTGGGGGAGCCAGCTACAAGAAAATAAGTAAAGACATGCTCTCCTGCTCAATTCCAAGAACTGGAGCTGAAAACAGGAGGTGGTGAGCGGAGCACTTTGCTGTAACAGGCTGTACTTCCTTGTCCATGTCAGATTCAGATTTCTCAGATGAATTGAATCATTTCCATTTTGGGATTACGAAAGTGTACTGCCACCATGGGCCCTTCCAAAAAAGTTACTTCCTGTCTGATCTTAAAATTAGGTAGATTTATCTCTGTGATTATTACCACCATTTGTGAAAAGAGCAAACTAAGATCTCAAGGTTTTCCAGAAACAGCCATCATGCTAGGCAAGTGCTGTGCTCATTAAGAACAACTTATGGATGACCACTTTTCATCATGCTTTTTAAAAAAGAATTGGCAGGCAATATCATGAAATCTCCAGGCTGCAGTAGTATCAGGAGACTATAATCTGACCCTTTCTACCTGCAGGTGGCAGCCACCTAGAGGAAGTTCTTAAATTGGATCCATGGACCCCTAGGTCATCCACATGAAGACTTCAATAGGCTCATCGCCCATGAAATTGTGGGGAAAGTTTTGTGCATTTGCCTTTCTCTGGGACTAAAATTCTTCATTTCCATCAGTTTCTTTAACAGTTCTCACGACTAAAAAAATATTTTTATTTTTATTTTTTTTTATTTTTAACAAATCGCTGTGTTTGAACCATACATCCTAACTTTTTTGAAGGCATATATGGTATTCACATGGCCAGTTTGAGAAAAGAAAGGCTGTTGCAGACTGAGGGAACCAAGGCCACCCTGCGCAGATCAGTATTTGCTCCCTTTGAGATGTCCTGGGAAGTGCCACATAAAATCAATCCACTGCCCAGAAGTGCTCCCTTCTGCCGGGATCATTTCCTTCCCTTGTGCAGCCCACACTGGGTTTTGGTCACCTCCACAATAACCGGACAAGCAAATCGTTCGGCTGTGGGAGGTCTGTGGAGAGGGAAGTGTCTCTTAGCCAGAGTATGACGAAGAGGATGGGGGAGCAGGCATAGATCCCCACATGTGGTCGTCACAGATATGCTCACAAATGGAACTGTGAAAAATTTTCAGGTTCACATTTTTTTAAAGAGACAGCGCCTCACTATGTTGCCCAGGCTGGAGTGCAGAGGCGCAGTCATGGCTCACTGAAGCCTCACACCCCTGGGCTCAAGCGATCCTCAGCCTCCTGAGTATCTGGGACCATAGGCTCACAGCACCATGCCCGGGCTAATTTTTATTTTTATTTTTTGCAGAGACGGGAGCTCGTTCTTGCTCAGGCTGGTCTCAAAGTCCTGGCCTCAAGCGATCTTCCTGCCTCAGCCTCCCAACGTACTGAGATTACAAGAGTGAGCCACTGTACTCGGCCTCAGGCTGACATTTAAAAAAAAAAAAAAGTTTCCTATAAGTAAGTACATGTAATAAAATGTTTAAATCCTACCCTCAGAAGTTAGGGGTCTATGTCATCCTGTTCCCACATTCATACTGGCGCCACAGCTGTCCCACCCAAGCAAGATTCTACTTTTCAAGAGAAAAAAATCTCACTTAACCGCACTATACCTATGAATAAAGGCATAGGGGAAAAAAGTAAATCCTTGATTCATCTACACAGTGCTGAAAACAGAAGTGTGAGTTCTTGTGAGCTGAAGGGGCCTGGAGGAAGCGTGGCGGGAAGGCTGGATCCCCGCCGCAGGGGCTCCGGGGCGGCAGCTGCCTGCGGGCCGGGCAGGGCCAGGCGGGCGCCCTCCTTCCGGGTGGCCGCTGGCCCAGACCCCAGGCTGCCGTCAGTCAAGCGGCCTCCGCAGCGGCCGTGCTTCCCCTTCTCCCACCCGGGTGGTCCCAGAGCTGGGACAACAATGGCCAGCTCTGTGTGGCCGCGTCCTGGGGCTAGAGCAGTAGGGAGGTGACACGCCGAGGGCGGGCTCCAAATCGTTATTCTGACAAAATAAGAAGGAAGGAAGAGCGAGGCAGACGATGGGCAGCGTCTGAGACGGAAAGCGGGAGATGAGAAATCTGTGGGGTCCGCGAGGCAGCGTGCGGGGAGCGAGCCTCACAGTGGCCACCAGGGGGAGCCCGGAGCTCACCCTGGGCCGCTTTCGCGAGGAGCCCTAAAGGGCGCAGCGGCACTCCCTCTTAGAGAGCTTACTTAGAGCCGTGTTCGGCGGAACACGCCAGTAATCCCAACACTTTTGGAGACGACGCGGATCACGAGGTCAGGAGTTCGAGACCATCCTGGCCAATATGGTGAAACCCCGTCTCTACTAAAAATACAAAAATTACCCAGGTGTGCTGGCACACACCTGTAATCCTAGCTTCTTGGGAGGCTGAGGCAGAAGAATCGCTTGAACCCAGGAGGCAGAGGTTGCAGTGAGCTGAGATCCTGCCACTGCACTACAGCCTGGGCAACATAGGGAGATTTCATCTCAAAAAAAAAAAAAAAAAAAAAAATCTCACTTGGGTAACGTCGAATTCCAAGTCTGCAGTGCCAGAGAGGGAGCAATCTGTGAAAGCTATCACGCCAGGTTTAAAATTCCTCAGTGCCCCAATGTCACTTTTCCCTCTGTTCACCCTGCTCCTCCAATACCCTTTCCAGAGGACCCCCTTCCTTTCTGGGTATCCTGTTTTGTCTCCCATGTGCCTTACTTCTCCTCTCTCCCATCTTCTCTTCTGGATTCTCATCTTCCTATTCTGTCACTTACATGTTTTGCAGCTACAGATAGGTACTCAGAAGGTGGCGTGGTAACATTTTCCTGCAGGTCACGCCTCATCGTGCCCACAAAACTGCTGCCTCAACCTTCAATTTTGAAACATTCACAGTATATAGGGTTATTAGATAAAATACAAGACACTCCGTTAAATTTGAATTTCGGGTAAATAACAAACATTTAGTATGAGTATTAAATAACATATAATGTGGTGGTGTAAGTATGCAAAATACTGCATGGGGCATCCTGTAATTTTATGTGTTAATCTGGCAACCCTCCAGACACATGAAACATGGAACTCAGAACAATTTATATTTGCTTCGATGAAGCTGATATTATAGATGAAAGAGGTTGCTCGGGGTAGGGAGATCTTCATTATAAAATAATCATCCCCATTTTGAATTTCTCTCTGAAAGCAAAAACATGCTTTAAAAAGCAATTTAGATCTAACATTTCCTACTATTAATTGTTCTGGTGACATTATCACTTCTTATGTGCTTATGTGCTTGTAAATCTTGTGGCCACAGTTAAAAAGCTTGATGAATCACATCTAAGATTTCACAAAACTGTTTTGAATAAATTAAGCAACACTTCAGTTATCCATAGTTGAGATATTTTAAGGCTGACATCTGCTTTTGTTTTCTTCCCTCTCCTATTTTCTTCTTTCCTTCTCTCACTCCTTACTTCTACCCTCTCTCCTGCCCCAACATAAAATATTTTCTGTAATCTATTACAGGGCTGAAAATTTTGGCATTCACATATTGTTCTCCAGTGACGGATACATTTTTTCATTTGAGGGGCACCTATTAGAAAAGTACCCATATTTTTTCATATTGTGCTATTCAAAGTTGATCATTTCCAGTCTCTGTAAAGTTAATAATGAGGCACTTTTCAGTCTTTTCAGGGAACTCCAGCCTTCATGAATGGGAATCATTCTCACAAAAACCCCCTTTTTAAGCCAAGGCTGAAGGATATGAAAAAACAAGACCCAGCTGACACCACAGAAGGGGAACAAAATAAAATCATAAGCTCTTCTCCAATAGTGACATATGCAAAATCATGTAAAGATGGTAGTGAGTGTCCTAAAGGTGGTGTCAAATGACAACTTTTGGATTTTTTTTTTCCAACTCTTTAGCTTCAGAGGATCATAGATACTGGAAGCAGCCAGTCAGAAGCTTCCAGACATAGCTGTCACAGGGGAAAATGAAGACCATCTGGGAGTCAGCTCAGCCCTGCACGATGAGCTAGTGACTGGCCTGCCCTGGGGGAGAACTCAGCACGCAACGATTTTTGTTGGCAACACAAGCCTCTGACCACGATCACCAAATTCCCCTGCCCTTGGCACTCCAATGCCTCAGTGAGGCCTTCTTTCATTCAAGCCCGTGAGGAGCTGTTAGCTAAAGAAGTAAGAAACAAACACGAGAAAGTCAGTAGGTATGTTAGAAAACTCATATGGCTAGACTAAACACAGCTTCATGCTTCATAAAACTTAAAGGCCTTCCACTTCAGAGTGGTGGTTGAACTTAAACTTCTGCATAGAGACGGGTTGCATCCACACCTGTTAGACCTGAATTCGTGTGTGTGTGTGTGTGTGTGTGTGTGTGTGTGTGTGTGACAGAGTTTTGCTCTTGTTGCCCAGGCTGGAGAGCAATGGAGTGATCTCAGCTCTCCACAACCTCCGCCTCCAGGGTTCAAGGAATCCTCCTGCCTCAACCTCCCGAGTAGCTGGGATTACAGGCATGCACCATCATACCCAGCTAATTTTTGTATTTTTAGTGGAGATGGGGTTTCTCCGTGTTGGTCAGGCTGGTCTCAAACTCCCAACCTCAGGTGATCCACCGGCCTCGGCCTCCAAAAGGGCTGGGATTACAGGTGTCAGCTAGGCGCCCGGCCACACCTGAATTCTTAAGCGGTTCAGAGCCCCCTGCTGGTCCCCTCCCTGCACCTCAGCGTCCTCATCTGTAGATGTGATTGCATGAAACCCACCAGCTCCAAACCAACTTTCTTATCAAGTGACTGTGTATTGGAGGGGATGCTAGAGTTAAAATACACCTGAGTTAAATGGTCAACTGACCTTGACATATGATAGGTTAAACTTCAACTTCCCCATCATAAGTGGGTATCATACTTTCTTTATTATGGTGTA